GTGAATATTATTTACTTCCCCCCCCCCCCCCGTTGTCACACGTTTAGGCTAGATGTTCACTGTTGTGAATCCCTTTGTGCTAAGGCAACTTCTTTGCAAAGGTAACAACAGCCACAGTTAGGTTCCCTGCACCCTGGGGGTGGGACAGTGGCAGCTGTCATTCATGAAACCCTGGCCTAGCTGGCCAGAGCTTACTTCCCTGCCCCTCGCATTCTCAGGCACCCTTTCCCCCTCTCTGGCCTCCTGGCTGGGACATCTCCAAGCTGGGTAAATGGTAACCTCCTCCCCACACCAGCCCCATACACCATCCAGGATGAGTCTCCATGCTGCTGCTTCCAGCTTCCAGACACAGGCAGTTAAGCAGCAGCATTTACAGAGCACCTGTGGTGTACCCATGATTGCACTAGGCATTGAGGGCTTTTCTTTGGTAGAATCCAGGCTTTACCCTTGAAACGCTTCTGTTGCATGTGCTTAGAGAGCACTAATCAACCAAACCGGGCCAGCTGGGAAAGAGCCTGGGCTCAGAAGGCCAAGTTTGAGAGCCCCCTGGGGGTCAGCGGGGCGACGCTCCCAGCCCGGGGCATTTCTGAGACTGTCTGGCCTCCTCTTCCCCCAGCCTGCTCAACAACTACATGATCTGGAACCTAGTGCGGAAGACAAGTTCCTTCCTCGACCAGCGCTTTCAGGACGCAGACGAGAAGTTCATGGAAGTCATGTATGGGACCAAGAAGGTGAGCCTGTCACTCATACACCTGCTGAGCACCTGCTGTGTGCCAGGCTCTGGGGTGGAAGCCGGTGTGACCACGGTAGCCTCCCAGGGCCATGGAACTTTTGAGGGAAGCAGACAATAGGACGAGAATGAACAGGACCACTAAGGGGTCCGCCCAGGTGTCTGTGAGAGCACAGGAGGGGATGTAAGCCAGCCGGGGGTGGGCAGAAGCTTCCAGAAGGAAGTGATTATGCCGAGTTAAAGGGTAAAGAGGAGTCTTAGCAACTTAGCTAATTAACAGGAAAAGGTAGTTCTCTCTTCCAATTCCTCGATGGTGATGCTGATAAATACTTGCCTGGTGTAAATGCTTCTCGTGATCCTCACAACCCCTGTGCAGTGTGTACTGTTTTTATCCTCCCTTTGCACAGGGAACCCTAATAACACCTCTTCTCCCCCAGAAACATGAAACACGTAGAACAGTACCTGGCTCCTGGTAAGTACTACACAGGTAGTCACTGCTACTGTGATCCCCAGATTCCAGTCTGGGGAAACTCCAGAGCCAGGCCCCTGGCTCCACCCTCCTTTAAATGCCCCATCATGACCCCTAAGGGTCCATTCTTTCAGAGGCTCCAGGGCCCTCCTCCTGGGAAATCCACCCCTTGTGGAAAGCTCCCCAGCTATTTCCGCTTCTCCCCAAGGAAGTGGCTGTTACCCTCCCATTTGTGCACCCGACGAGCGGTTGCTCATTAAACTCCTGCTGCCCTGTGCTAGGCTGTGATCCCAGTGTGGTAATACTGAGACCGGTGAGGTGGGGTCTGTGCCCCAGGAGCCTATGACTGCTGAAGGACATCACAGAAGCTGCGCAGTCCTCACATGTGCCGATGGGATATACCAAGCCAGGGCCCCAGAGGGTGCCTCAGCGACAGAGCAGTAGAGGCTTCGCCAAGCCTGCCAGGCACACCCTGCCCCCACCCAGCAGACCCCAGCAGGCCCTCCCCAGAGACCAGGCAGAGCTGACTGCAGCTGGACCCTGCCCCCGCAGCCCCTCCCAGAGTCCAGGGGAGCAGGCGGCTCCAGATAAGGATTGGCAGAGAATGGCAGGATGTGGGCTTCTGCCTCCGGCCCTGGAGTTCATCCTGGGAAAAGTTCTCCTTTTCTCTCCCATCCTCATCTACACCCACCTCTGGCAGGAAGGGGCATGAGGGAGAGAGTGGCTGGGAACAGGGTGTGCTTCTGACCGGAGGAGCTTCTGAGGACACTACTGGGCCTCAGCCATGAGAGCCACCCTGCCCTGTGGGGAAGGACAAGGGGGTGTGGTGGGTTGGCTGCCCCACCTGGTTGAATTACCTTCCTGTTTCACCTGTACCTACCTTGGACTGGCCCTGGGTTACAAATGTGACCAAAGCCTGGATTCTGTTCCCTGCAGCACTTGGTCCTGATCAGACCCTCCCTGACCAGGACCCAGGATGATGGCTCTGTGAGCACTCACCTGCACCATCTCTTACCTCCTGGATTACAGATGAGGAAACTGAGGCTCAGGGAGGTAAAGGGACTTTCCTAAGTCACCCAGCGGGGAAGCAGCCAGGCTCAAAATCAAACCCAGATCTGGGTGACTATAACTTTTAGGCACTTTCAGCTACTCACTAATAGTATTGATAAAACCAAAGATATTATTGGGTATTTACCTTTTGTAGGCCTTATCTCACCAGGCTCCTACAACAGCTCTGTGTGTTAGGAACAATTATTATCTGCCATCTTACAGATGGGGAAACCGAGGCTCAGTGAGGGGGAGGGACTTGCTCAAAGTTGCCCGTATGTGGAGAGGGCGTGCTCAAACACGGCACATCAGATTCTACTGCCCGTACCCCTCTGCCCCGCCGCACTCAGCCTCTGCTCTGCAGGAACCGAAAGTTAAAATTGAGCTTCCCTGAGGTTGCCAGGGCCTGGGGGGGGGGATGAGGAAGTATTGTTTAATGAGTATAGACTTTCAGATTTGCAAGATGAACAAGTTTTGGAGATCGTTTGCACAACAGTGTGAATAAACTGGACACCACTGAACTGTACACTTAACAATGGTTAAGATGGTAACTTTTATGGCATGTGTATTTTACTTCAATTAAAGTTAAAATTAATCAATTAATAGAATGAGCTTCCCTGGGCTAGGTTCAAAGTGCAGAGCCAGTGAGGCACGGAGAAGCCATGGCAAGTGGGAGCCCTGAGGCAGGAGGCTCTGAGCCAGGGGTCTCTGGATGCCCCAGGCCTGGGGGCGGTGGGGTGGGTGGTGGGTGGAAGATGTTTCTCACCTGTTTCTTATTCTCCAGCCCCCCCACCTCCCGTGGCTGCTCCTGGGCCCGGGCCAGGTCCATCCTGCTTGTGTCCAGGACAACTCAAAGCCCTGTCCTAGCGGTGTGACCTTGGGTAGTCCTTGTACCTCTCAGAGCCTCAGTTTTCTCATCTGCAATTTGGGGTGATTCCTGACCTCATCTCCCAGGACCCTTGTGAGTGGCCTCCATTTGGGAAAACACCTGTAAAGTAAAGCCGCGTAGAGCGTACAGTTGTTCAGCCTTGGTAGGGAGGGAGCGTGAGGAAACAGCACAGAATTTGGGGTCAGCAGATCTGAGCTGGAAACGCTTCTAACCACACAATCTTGGACAAACTGCTTAATTGGGGCAGGGGCTTAGCCTTCCCATCTGGTAAAAGGGGTAACTAATCCCTGCCCTGCTTACCCGAGGGTTGTCTAGGATTACACGAGGGGATCCCTATAAAGTCTGTTTGAAAGGCTACAGTGCTCCATGCCAGATGCATCTCATCAGCTATGATTCATTTATGAGTGGAGAGTTCTGGCAGCGGGAAGGAGGCCCTGCTGGTTCACCCTCTTCCCCTTCTCCTCCCTCGTGCTCCGTGTATTACAATGGAGACATTAAAAATAAGTCAGTAAGATACAGCCAGTTCGGGGCGGAGGTAGCGGCTTCTCATCTTCCCCGACTCGGCTCAGAGGTCACCTCCAGCCAGAATGAACCCTTCTTCCTGACTGTCAGGTCGACCTGACCCTTGCTCCTATCGAAGTTCATTTTTCTCTTCATCCTACAGCAGTTCCAGGGACTTCATGACTCATAGGCAGTGAGTGTGGCCTCTTTGAGAGAAGACATTGGAGCCAGACTTTCTGGGTTCAAATCCCATCTCAGCCACTTGCCGCTTTCTCCCTGAGTGATCTCTTTGGGCCAGTGATTTAACCTCTCTGTGCTTCGGATTCTTTATCTGCAAAAAGGAACAAATGGGTATTATGAGCGTTACATGGCATAGGGCGTGGCACGTGGTAAACGCTCACTGAACAGTCACTGCTGTTACGGTCAGCAGTATTGTTACGTGTGTGTCTCTCCCACTGGAGGTTCTGGGCAACACATCTGAGTCCCTTGAGGGCAGGCCCACAGTTGACTCATCTCTAGACGAAGGTGAAACCCAGCACAGCCGTGGTGCAGAGAACCGCTCAGAGAGCGCTAGATGTGCAGGTGAATGAACGCACGCGTGGGCGATCGGGTCTGTCCAGGGGGTGACCTGAGAAGACAACCAGGAGGAATCTGTCCGTGATTCAGCAGCCGCAGCCTGACAGACTGTAGCCAGCGGTGGGCTTCACAGCTGAGGAGGGGGTCAGGAGTGGGGAAGGAGAGGCCGAAGTCAGGCATCTAAGTGGGCACGTGGTTGGGAAAGCTAAAGAGAACTTGGGTGGTTAAACTTGGAGAAGATAGAGCGTGCCTTTCTTCCATTCTTCATCCTGATCTTCTTTCTTGCCTAGAAGGATTTTTAAAAAAAATTTTTATCGAATCAAAATTGATTATACATATTTTGGGGTTCAACATTGAGATATGTTGATCAAACCAATATTACTAGCATATATATTGTTACAAATTGGAATTATTCTCTATGCCCCTTGTCCAATCCATCCCTCTCCCCCTTCCTCTCCCCCTCCCCCCTCTAATCACCCTAGATTTCTTCTCTCCTTCTGAAAGAGTAATGGTTACTCTGTTGATTTGCTGCCCAAATGATCTGTCCAATTCTGAAAGGCGTGATCAGGTCCCCCAATACTATCATAGAGCAGATGTCTCTTCTGTCACTTTGAAATGAGCTCTGTGAGGAGAGACAACCTCTTCCTTTCTTTATCTCTGCTGGTGACTCTCCTTGTGTCAATGCACTCTAGTGGCTGGTGGACCATCTGCGTGGTGGTTGTGGCATGTAGCTGCTTTCATGGCAGCCATGGTTATCGTGGTGGCTGTGGTGGGCCACCCACACGGAGGAGATGATTTTGGCCTGATCCGTGGTGCTGAGAGTGTGCCTGGTTGTGGAGAGTGTCCAGTCCCCAGCTCCTTACCCTGGGTCCCTAGGCACGCCCCGAGGTGCTGGTGCAGTGTGCCTGGTTGTGAGAGGGGGTTTCGGTCCTCTTCTCCATGCCCCGAGTCCCAGGGCAGGCCGAAGTCAGGCATCTAAGTGGGCACGTGGTTGGGAAAGCTAAAGAGAACTTGGGTGGTTAAACTTGGAGAAGATAGAGCGTGCCTTTCTTCCATTCTTCCTCCTAATCTCCTTTCTTGTCTAGAAGAATTTTGTTTTAACTAATAAATTTTAACTAATTTTTTTTAACAATAAGTTATGAAGTGTACTTTAAGTGTACAGATCAGCGAGTTGTAACAAATGATGTCACCCACGTAACCACCACCCCAATCAAGGTGGAGAACATCTCTATCACCCATTTATCCAGCATCTTCTGAGCAGAAAGTTCCCTCGGGCCCCTTCCCCATCAGCCCACGCCCCCCAGAGGTGGGTGCGGGTGGAATCATGCACCATAGGCCTGGCCTCTGTTGCTCAGAACAGGTCTGCGGGATCCATCCGTGCTCTTGTGTGTATCCGTAGCCCATTCCTTTTTGTTGCCAAGGAGTATGTTGCCGTATACAAATGCCATGTTTTGTTTACCCATCTGTCTGTCGATGGGCGTTTGGGTGGTTTTCAGTTTACGGCTCTTGTGAAGCAGACTGTCCTGAGCACGGGTGGTTGTTACCACCTGCTCCTCGGGGTTAAGTGCACATTGGCTTTCTCTGCAGCCGATGTGCATGAGCAGGGCCACCGTGCACTGTCATACTCATGTCCACCAGGGAAGCCTGGGCGGGGGAGCAAGGGGGGCCGACACCAGCCCAGGCGCTCTCTGCCGAGCCATGTTCCTCCAAGGGGCTGTGGTCACAGACTCCTTTTTCCAGCTTGTACAGAGGTGTCCTATGAACTAGTGGGGCTTGTGGCTGAGACCACGGAAGAACCAACGCATCGAAATCCTGGGGTATCACTTGTAGCTGTTTTCTTCCTAGGAGGCTTTAAATGGGGTTAGGGTCCTGACCCACTGGGAAGTTTTTCCCATTGCTCAGGGTAGGCAGGTAACTTCCCAAGGTTCTTTGCCTTCCAGGAGGCAGGACGAGGCAGGGGCAGGTAGGGGCACAGGTAGTGGGGTCAGGCGTTCTGAGTTCCCGTCCTAGCACCACCCCTTACAGCTTGGGACCCTGAGCCAGAGACTGCCCCTTGCTGAGTTTCTGTCTCCTCATCTGTCATCAACCAACAATCCCTGCCTCCCTGGGTCATTTTAATAGCTCACTGGGAGACCATGTGTGACGTCCCAAGCACAGAGCCTGGCGCTCAGGAAACAGTAGGTGGTGACAGTGAGGGGCATTCCATGGCCTCTTGGTCCAGTGCCCAAAATAACTTCCAGGTCAGGAAATGTCTCCCTGAAGTTCTGGAAAGAAGCACGGGCCCAGGTGGCACTACCTCCTGGACAGAAAGGGGAGGGGGAGGACTGGGGCCCAGTAACCTTTCCCACCTGTGTTTTCCAGACCTGTCTTCCTCGCTGGAAGTTTTGCGTGAGTGACACAGAAAACAACCTGGGCTTTGCCCTGGGCCCCATGTTCGTCAAAGCAACCTTCGCCGAGGACAGCAAGAACATAGTAAGTGCTTCCCCCGTGGACACAGGCCGTGACCTCATGCCTGTCGCGGCCCCTCATGGACTTGACCGCCTGAACTCTGGTCTGCTCCGAGCTCGCGGGCCCCAGGCTGCAGCCTTGCCTCAAGCTTCCATTTGCTCGAGGCTTGAGTGATGTGAGCTGTTGTAAGAGCTCCCATCCCCGAGTGCCAGGCCCGCACCTGTGTGACCTCCCCTGCAGAGTTATTACAGCCTCTCCACTTCCCGGGCTGTGAAGGACCCAGCTCTGGCCCAGAGGGTGACATTTGTCTTACTTTGCGGGTACCGGGTTTGTTCTAGACAGGCAGGGGGACATCGCAGCTACACAGCACTGTGGGGACAGCCGGGCCCAAGTGCAGATCCTGGCTTCATCACATCCTGGTTGGGCGACTTGGGACAGTACTGTCAGCTCATCTGTAACATGGAGATGGGGGTGTCCCTCCCACAGGGTGAGATTAAATGAGATACTACATACAAAGAGCACCTGACACAAAATAAGGGCTCGATAAATAGTAGCTGTTATATTATCGTTACAGTTTCTATTAGTTACAGTATTAATTATGTAGGTATTATCTGCAGTTGAGGGTTAGCAGACTGAGACTCAAATCTATCACGGGACTTGCCTGTGAGCATCTGAGACAACATGAGTCGGGGCATGTCGGCCATCGTCCCTTTGCCCTTGCTGCTGTGTGGCTCTACCTTCTCCAGAATCTTCTACCATCTGTCTTTGGCCTCCAGGTCTTCCTATAACATTGTCACCCTCGAGAATGGCTGTTTGTCTCCAGCCTGAGCATGGCATTTCTGAAACTGCTCCTCAGAACTGCAGTTCTCTAGAATTTAAGGGCCATTCCATCAAAGAGGATTCCTGTGGTGCAATAAGTCTGGGAGAGGCTACGTACTGTAGCCCCCTCTGAAAGCATGGCCGTGCACGTTACCACCTTAAAGGCTCTGGAAAGTCCCGCAGCAAAGAGACTTTTCCAGCTTTCCCGAAGTTTGTCCTAAGCCTGTTTGACCACAGAGCCTGTTAATGGAAGTCCAGTCTTGTCTTGTAGGGTGTCAGTGCTGTTTGGAAATGCTGTTTGGAAAACATGGCTGTGGCTTCTTTTTTAGCCCAGCTCCTGAGGCTTTGAGCCAAACCTGAGTTTAGTCTCTGGCCCAGCATCGTCCTGCATGGGGCACACATTGCATTTAGGCGAGGCCAGATACCAGACCTTACTGATGTGGCATGTGTCTCCTCAGGCCAGTGAGATAATCCTGGAGATCAAGAAGGCATTTGAGGAAAGCCTGAGCACTCTGAAGTGGATGGATGAAGACACCCGGAAATCAGCCAAGGAAAAGGTGAGGCTGGCCAGGCACGTGAGGGGGTTGCTGAGGCTTCCGGCACAGAGGCGGCAGCCACAGATAGAGGGTGGGTGAAGGACAGACTGGTTCTATCCAGTGAGTACCGTGTGGCTGCTGTCCCACCTTCAGGGGAGAACTGTCTAGCAGGATGGAGGGACACCTTGTATTAGTCCATTTCTATAGCTTATAACAAAAATATCTGGAACTGGGTAATTTGTAAAGAAACAACATTTACTGCTTATAGTTTCAGAAGCTGGGAAGTCCGAAGTCCAGAGAACACATTTGGTGAGGGCCTTGTTGGTGGCAACAGTGATGCAGGGTCTCACATGGCAGAAAATGGCAGAGCAGAGAGAGACTCTCCCATGCTGTCCTTTTAAAGCCCTCAGAACCACACCCATGAACTAGGGCATGGCCCCTACAATCCAGTCACCTCCCCAAGGTCCCACCTTCCAATCATCACAATAGGGTTTCCCACCCTCGTACCACTGTCATTGTGGGGGCCAAGTTTCCAATACCTGGAACTTTGGGAGATGCAATTTAAGCTTCCGTGAGTTTGGGGGGGACATTCAATCAACAGCACACCCTTAAGCACGTGACTGCACGGATGACTGTATAAAACAAACCTTGCTGAGTGCGCGACGGACGTGGCATGTCTCACAAGGAGGGAGGAATCTGGTGCCGTCCAGTGGGGTGGGAGTCAGGGAAGGCTTCCCTTGGGGAAGTGACATTTAGGTAGAGACCCAAAAGATAAGTAGAAGTTGGGCAAAGCGAGGATCTTTCCAGAAAGAAAGCAAGCCCTGAGATGGGAGGAGCCTGGCCTGTTTCCCCTTGGCCCAGATCCTGAGCCTGGCACCCACAGAGCAGGGGCCAGCCTGGCTGGCATTGCAGGGCGCTCACTTCTGTCTGTTCTGTCCAGGCGGATGCCATCTACAACATGATAGGCTACCCCAACTTTATCATGGACCCCAAGGAGCTGGACAAAGTGTTCAATGACGTGAGTGGCCTTTTCCCTCCCCCCTTGCATTCATTCCCGAATGCCCACTCAGGTAAGGGTCCAGGCAGGGCAGGATCCAGGTGGAACGCTGGGGGCAGCGTGGCTGTCAGGACATCACAAGATGATGTGTGGGGTTTGGGGCTGGCTCGGGCATTTCCTGCTTCTTTATCTCCTGGGGCAGCCTGAGCCTCCATCAGGCAGTGCCTAGCAGTCAGTACCAGAACATGCGCCGTGTGCCCCACTGGGAATGGTCTGCTCCATTTAATGAGTGGGAAATAATGAGAAAAACAGATCCTAGAAGGTGCAGGGAGGATTAGTGGCCCTAAAACAGGTGGGGTAAAAAGTGGGGCCCTTCATACTGCTTCCTTCCTCCCGGGTCCTGCCCCCATAGTTGCCTCAGTCCCTCCCCAGAGAAACTGGACCTCTGATTTTGACCTTGAAATGCTACTGAGAGAGAGGAAGCATAAATCCCAAGGGCATTTTGAAACCTAATTTGGGTGGCAAGTGTAGTTGCTGCATCCCTCCTGGTGAGAACTTTTGGCAAATCACTCCTTTACATTGGTGGTGCTTCTGCTGCAAATGATAAGGTTTTATATCTTCTAGTGCCTGAAATTTGTGAATTACAGGCATTTCTGAACTTACAATAACTTCTCACCGTGGTTATATTTAAAACCTATGGATATTAAAATTACTTCTGAGAATGTGAGACTCATTCTGCAGCCTTTTTCCTTGAAAATAGTTGAAGATCTCCAGGGTGTCCTGACACAGGATCCAGGGGCTCCTGAAGGCAGCCCAGGCAGAGCCCACAGGACTTTTGTCCTGCCCCTGAAGATCCAGCGTTTTACCAGAGCCCTGACATAAAGCCAGAAGGACCTGCAGTGGATCTAAGGGAGAACTTGGCACCTGTCAAGAGCTGAAAGGCCAGGCTGAGTGGTCTGGAGGGCGTGTGATAATGCCTGTCCCCTGACATTCCAGAGATAGACTCCAGTTGGATTTGTTAGGTTTGCACTGTCCAGTATGTCCAGTGTATTAGCTATTAGCCACAGGTGGCTAATTAAAACGTAAATGAATTAAGATTTAATTTAAAAGTCATACTAGCCACATTCGAAATGCTCCACAGCCACCTGTGGCTAGTGTCTACAGTATTGGACAGCACAGGCATAGAACACGTCCGTCATTGCAGGAAGTTCTACTGGCCAGCACTGGAGATATTTCCTGTCTCAGGATGCTCCTGCAGCACTGTGACATTGTCGGGTGCCCCTGGGTGACGCTCTTAGTGTGTCCTAGAAGGAGAGAGTTAGAGCCAGGCCCCACCAGGGTGAGGGCCAAAAGAAGAGCTTGAGCCTGCAGCCCGGATCCCTCCGTTCTAGTCTTTGTCCTGCAGGGCAGTCCCTTCACCTCGACAGCCTCACTTTCCTCAGTTTTAGAAGATGGAGCCCAGCCTGGGCATGCTCCAGCCCGTGACTCCAGCCTGCTTCCTCTTTTCCAGTACACCGCCGTTCCAGACCTCTACTTTGAGAACGCCATGCGGTTTTTCAACTTCTCGTGGAGGGTCACTGCTGACCAGCTCAGGAAAGCCCCCAACAGAGACCAGTGAGTTCCCCGAACCCCACCGGGAAGGTGCTGGCTCCCTGCACAGGGGCTGCTGTGGGCTGAGCTTGCCTTCATTGCACGCCATGTGCTGGATGTGGCTGTCATGAGAGCCATCTGAGGTGTGGGTGCTGGTGTTATCCCACTTTTCAGATGAAACAACCAAGGCCAAAGAAGTGTGGCCCCGAGTCTGTGCAGCCCCAGCAGCCAGCCTGTTGGCAGAGTGAGCCTGGTCTCTGGAGCTGAGCTGACCTGGCACTGTGTCCCAGCCTTCATGTCATTATCTGCACAATTGGATGGAGAAGCTGGTTCGTGGGTCATTGTGACAATCAAACGAGAGAACTTCTGGGGAGTGTCAGGCACAGGCGGCCCTCAGCAAGGGCTAGTTTTCTGTAATTCCTCAGTAACAGGAGTGGTGGTCTCTCAGGGGCAGGTCCCCCACAGAGGCCTGGGGAAGGTTCTGGATGGACCCCCAGCAGCTGTGGTTCCCAGACCTCACTGCACATCCAGAATCCTCTGGGGAACTTTTAAAAAAATAATAGCTCTCTGACCTCTACCCTAGACCGTCTTAAATCAGAATGATCTGGAGTGAGACTTGGTTTCTGTCCTTTTTAAAACAGTCTACTCAGAATAGTAGATGTAGTCAGGCCAGTAGTAATGGTGAGATTAAGCTCTCTCCACTCCTGAAACATTTTGCAGGATAAATCTTACCAGCAGGGAAAGCAGTGTCTCTTTGCTTTTGGCGCCCCCTTGTGGACAACAGGGGTTCAAACATCTGTGTTTCCTCAAGTTTTCCATCTTCAACCAGGGAACCCCCTAAACACACACCGAGGTAGGCTTTTACCTTCAGAATATGGCACAGGCACCGTTGCCAATTTATCTGAAGTTTTTAAATTTAGCTTAATATTTTTTATTTAAATTTTATCTCCTACTCACTAATGTATTATCAGTGATTGTTTAAATATAAGTATGTTTTAAATTTCTCACTAGTTTACATGGCTTTGGGGCCCCCCTTACCACATCTCACCTGGAGGAGACAGAGTGACTATCTAGGCTCTTGTAGACAAATGTTTCCGTCTTGCTCCACTCCTTAATGGCACTTCCCCTCTGCACCAGAAAAGTCATGGAAAGGCCAACTATTTCATTACTGTATACTGTTATTAGTTTCATACTTTTTGGTTTCAGGACTCTTCTACATTCTTAAAAAATTATTGGACTCCAAAAAGCTCTTTTGTTTATGTGAGTCATATTGATTTTTATGGAAATTTTATGAAAAATATTTTCAAAAAATAAGAAGAGACATATTGTTTTCACTTTTTGCAAATTTCTTTAGTGTCTGGCTTAATAGAAGACAGTTGGATTCTCATATCTGCTTCTGCATTCAGTCTGTTGCAGTATGGTGTTTTGGAATATGTAAAGGAAATCTAACTTCACACAGCTACGTAGTTGGAAAAGGGAAAGATATTTTAGTAGTCTTTCCTGATACTTGAGTATATTCTTCTGGTACTACTCCAAGTGGTGATTTTTTTTTTTTTTTAATTTATAAAGATGACCAGTAAGGGGGTCTTAACCCTTGACTTGGTGTTGTCAGCACCACGCTCAGCCAGTGAGCTGACCGGCCATCCCTATATAGGGATCCAAACCCACAGCCTTGGTGTTATCAGCACCACACTCTCCCAAATGAGCCATGGGCCGGCCCTCCAAGTGGTAATTTCTTAAAGGTTAGTTGCCATGTGGAATCTGAAACCATATCCATGAACTTTTCATATTCTGTTACACTAAAATCCATGCATATATCTTGCACTTTGAACGCATCTTTACCCAAGTATGATTTTGTAACATCATGCATTAGTCATTTGGAAAACAGTGGTTCACTGAGTTTTACAGAACTGCCAAATAGTGACACTTTCATTATACAAAAGAATCCACATTTGTTAATATCACCCCTGACCTCATGAGAATAATTTTTAAGTATTAGGAAGCTGTCAAATTTGTGGTGGCCAGTAGAAGTTTTACAAAATTTTAATTTTTGCTTGAAACTTCGAATTTTTTTTTGAAACCTCTAATTTTTTTTTTTTCCTCTTTGTCTTTTTTCGTGACCGGCAACGGATCGCAACCCTCAGTGTCGCGCCCGTACCGGACCGGGACCGGCTACGGGATCGCAACCCTCGGCGTTGCACCCGCACCTCGCTCAGCCAGTGAGCGGGAACCGGTCTGTATGTGGGATCCGAACCCTCGGCGGGAGCGCCACCACGCTCCCAAGCGGCGCACTGTAGCAGTGTGCCACCGGGCCGGCCCTGAAACCTCTAATTTTAATCATTGTCAACAAATGGTGCCAATTGTTTTCCTTGAGGTGATAAGCTCACTTTATTTATTTTCAAGGAAATGTCTACCAAATGTCCAAGTCTGAAACTCCATGGTTCATCAGTCGTCCTAAGGTATTCCGTGAAAAAAGCTGAAGCACTTCATGTGGATTTCCCACTTGGTCACACAGAATAATAAAAATACCTGTACTCAGGGGTCTAGATTTAATGAAATTAATAATTATGCTACTGTGTCAAGGTGCTGTAAGTGAAATGGTTTGGTTGGTGTTTTTGCAGGTATAACATGCTGGAGAATAACTTGGTGCTCACTAGAACTTGCCTTGATTCATGGTCAGGCTCCAGCAGTTTTACTCACTGTTGCTTTTACACCATCCATGCAAATGTCAACTCAGTAGAAAAGGCAGATAATGTCTTAATATTACTATAAAAATAGCTTTGACTTCGTGGACCCCTGAAAGGGTCTTGGGGACACCCCCACCACCTGGTGTCCACAGATCACGCTTTGAGAACTGCTGATAGGTACATTCTGAGCCTAGACAAGGATGACTTTTCAACATGTAATGGTCCATTTTGTTCTCTGTACAGAGTCTCAGTATTCCAGTGTGTGATGTGACATCATCTATTTAACTAATTCCTTATTTATAGACAATTGGGTATTTTCCAGTTTTCCCTTCTCACAAACAGTGCTGCCATGGATGCGCTATACTTGTGTGCACTTGGGCCAAGGTCAAGAGGAATCCACATTTTTAAGCCTCTTGATACCAATCCCCATACTGTCCTCCCACGGGGCTGTCCCCACCTGCCCACCCATCCGCTGTGCCTGAGATCCCACGTGTGTTGCTTGCAGGTGGAGCATGACCCCGCCCATGGTGAACGCTTACTACTCGCCCACCAAGAATGAGATTGTGTTTCCGGCTGGGATCCTGCAGGCACCATTCTACACCCGCTCCTCACCCAAGTAGGCTGCCTCTGGTGTCCCTCCCTCAGAGGACCCCCCAGCCCAGCCCTGTGGCCCATAGCTGACCATACAACTGAGCCAGTCTCACTGAGCGATCTTTGCCCCATGGCCCGGGCATTTTAGGATTGTCCGAGAAATTGCAGAGGAACACCCTCACTCTCCACCCTTCCCTCCAGGGGTCTCTTGGATCTGGAAGCCCCTGGACATTGGTGGGGTATTGGGGGCATGCTGTGGAGTCAAGAGCTCTACATAGGGGAAACACCCCTCTGACCATATTTTAAAACAGTCAGAGCTAGGGAGTTGGGAAGGTGAGGGCACCACCTCAGAAAGGAAATCCACACAGTCCTGGTCTGCTGTTTGACCATGTGGCCCTTGGGCAAAGTGATCCACCCATTCCCAGCCTCAATTTGCTTGTTTATAGAGCCGGTTAATAATGCCTCACTCTTCTGAGATAACTAACGAGTTCAGTCCAGTTCTGTAGCATGTTGAGCACAGTGCATGGTGCCCGTGGCACAGCTGACCACAGACTCTGCCCAGCCTCCAGCCTGGGTGGAAGCTCAGGCTGTGGCCATGTCCCCACAGAGTCCTGCAGGACTTCGCTATGTCTCCAGATCTGGGAAGCAAGGGTCACATAACTGGACAAGAGTGAGAGAGAGGCCCTCCACTCAAGTCTCACCCTCACCTCTATGTCCCCCCCAGGGCCTTAAACTTTGGTGGCATTGGTGTCGTCGTGGGCCATGAGCTGACTCATGCTTTTGATGATCAAGGTATGGGTTCCTTGCAGTCCCCTTCAGACAGAACCCATCAACATCCTGGCCCCACTGCCTCTGCTTTCTGCCCCCTTCACTTCTTTTTTTCTTTATTTCTTTTTTCTTTTTTTTTTTTTTAAAAAGATGACCAGTAAGGGGATCTTAACCCTTGACTTGGTGCTGTCAGCACCATGCTCTCCCAAGTGAGCCACGGGCTGGCCTTCCCCTTCACTTCTAAGGGTCTTAGCTTTGGAGATGGAAGGATTTGGGTTCAAATCCTGGCTCTGCCGCCTGCCGATTGTATGAACTTTAGCAAGTCCTGTCATTTGTCCAACCCTCTGTTTCTTTGTCTGTAAAATGGTCGTGATGATCCCAACCTCATGTGATTGTGAGGACGATGGGAATGTGCTCCTGGAAGGTGTTCAGTACTCAGGGGTAGGTACTTGTAATCAGCAGGGAGTGTACATTTCTCCACCACTCCAGGGACTTCTCTGGTCTGACTGTAGTCAGAGGAGTTGAAGTCAGTCCCTCCTTGCCAGCTAATGCCCAGAATCCTCCTCATTGCCTCCTGTCTTGGGGACACCAAAGCTGAGAAGGAAGAGGCAGGGACCTTGGAGGCTGGGCCAGTCTTGTGACCCCAGCACTGCCGGTTGCATTTGCTCATAGCCAGTCTTGAAAATAAGCCCAGCTCCACTGAACGTTTGGCCACGCTGGTCTTTGCCCGGATCGCTGTCTTCCGTCCTCTCCTGCTCTGGTGGGCTGATCCATCCACCTCCGGCAGCATTCAGATGGGCAGTGTTGGGCATGCTGGCTGGAGGATGGGGGGAGACGGCTGAGCCATGTGTCTCCAGGAGGAGAGAGGAGCAAGCAGGGGCAACAGGCCTCCACTCAGACCCTCCTTCCCCTGACCCGAGGCTTCCCTCTGCCCCCAGGGCGGGAATATGACAAGGATGGGAACCTCCGGCCCTGGTGGAAGAACTCGTCCGTGGAGGCCTTCAAGCAGCAGACCGAGTGCATGGTGGAGCAGTACAGCAACTACAGCGTCAACGGGGAGCCCGTGAATGGCCGGCACACCCTCGGGGAGAACATCGCCGACAACGGGGGCCTCAAGGCGGCCTATCGGGTGAGTCCTGCTCCCCGTGCACGCCCCGGGCCCATGTCTGGGGATGTCCAGATGCCTCATCAGTGGAGGATCGTTCTAGACACCCCAGGACAAGCCCCAGCAGCTCTGCAAGCCTCAGTTTTCCCCATCTGTGACAGGGGTGGTCAGGAGGACTGAGTGAGGCTGACTGTGAGAGCGCCCAGCACAGAACTTGGCACGCAGAAGGCGTTCTGCTCTGAGTCTGGCCGACTAAGAGACACAGGAGAGGGCTGGGGCTGGATCCACCTGCACAGCCTGCCTGTTCATACCTTTGCAGGGGAAGCCAACGCCTGATCACTCAGCAGTGGGCCTGGGAGGCTCCTGTGGGCCAAGGGGGAGGGACAGGAAAGGAAGGGGACATTGGTCATGAAGTCAGTTCTGGGTTCACGTCCTAGTTTTGGAGTAAGTCACTTACCCTCCTTGAGGCTCAGTTTGCTTGGCCACAAATAGCTGATACCTGCATCGCTGGGTTGTCGGGAAGATGAAACAGGATGACCTGGACACGGGGCCTGGCCCAGAGGCACTCAGGAATGTTAGCTGGGTTGGATGGGAGAGAAAACAGAGGCCAGAGGAAAGGTGTCTGTCAGAGACAGCAACACAGAGGCCCCTCCTAACTGTGATAGCAAGAGCTGAGATACTGAGAGGTCCTGTTTATTGAGGCCTTATCTTGTGCCAGGCTTGGAGTACTCCCCAATAACTTTACAGTTGGGTATTATAATCCCCATTTTGCAGATGAGGGAACTGAGTCCGGGATCATTTGATAACTTGCCTGACATCTATTAGTCCATGAAGCTGTACTGAGAACCTTCTACTATGCATGTGCTAGACAAACAGGGGTCCTCCTCTCCTAAAAGCTTGCACTGTCAGTGGAGGCAGAGGGGGAAGGACGGCATTAAATTCCTAAACAAATATATAAGATAATGCTGGGTATGGATACGACGAAGAACATAAAATAGAGAAAAGTAATAAAGAATAACAAGGGAAGGTGGTTAGTGCTGGCCTCTGGAGGGAATGTTTTGAATTGAGACCTAAATGATGAGGAAGGGACAAGGCAAAGCTGGGAAAAGTAGTCTCAGGAAAAGGAAGAGCAAGTGCAGAGGTCACGAGGTGGACGCAAGCCCGGCATGTTCAAGGACAGGAAGAGGGTGGGGGCAGAGAGGAGGGAACGCAGGGACCAGAGCACTCCAGCCTCTTGTCGGCTGAGGACGGAGCTGGGTTTCATTCTGGTTACAGTGGCGAGCTGATGCAGGGTTTCTAAGTAGAGGAGTGACATGGTCTCATTTCCCCTTTAAAACAGGGGTCAGCAATCCAGCCCTCAGCCTATTTTTGTGGATGGAGTTGTTTGGGGACGCAGCACGCCCATTCATTTGCATGTGTGTGGTGGTAGAGTGGGGTTGTTGCAAAGCTGAAGATATTTATTCTCTGGCCCTTTAAAGAAAAAGTTTGCCAGCGCCTGCTTTATAAGGATCACTTAAGTTGCTAGGTGGGGAGGGGGTTGGAATCGGATCAGTTTGGGTCAAAAATACTAGTTAGAAAGCTATTGCGAGGTCGTCCAGGCAAGAGGTGGGATAGAGCAGTGGGAAGGGTGAGACGTGGTCAGACTTGAGATGTCTGGTTTTACTGAAAGACAAGAATCGAAGGAGAGTTCTGGGGTTCGGGATTGAGTAACTAGGTGGACGGTGGTGCGGTTAACCACGATGGGGCGTGTGCGCGCATGCATAACCTACATTTTATATGTGCCACACTAAGTTTGAGATGCATCTTGGATGTCCAGCTGGGACAGTTGAATACACGCAGTAGGGCTGGCCGGTTAGCGCACTCAGTACAGCATGGTGCTGATAACACCAAGGTCCAGGATTTGTATCCCTGCACCGGCCAGCTGCCAAAAAATAAAAAAGAATATACAAATCAGGGAAGAGGCTGGAGCTGAAAGTATGAATTTGAGAGTCATCAGCTCGTAGATGGTATTTTAAGCCACAGACTTGAATGTGCTCCCCTTCGGAATGAGTGCAGATAAAGAAAAGGGCTCCTCTAGGCTGCGCTGAAGCCCAGGCCCCCAGAAACAGGTCCCTGCCCCCACACACGGGCCCCCTCCATCACGGCCGGCGTCACGGGCACCCCTGAGCTTCGGTTTTCTCTGCTTCCAGGCTTACCAGAACTGGGTGAGGAAGAACGGACCTGAGCAAACCTTACCCACCCTGGGTCTCACCAATAACCAGCTGTTCTTCCTGGGCTTTGCACAGGTGAGCGCACCGAGAAACAGTGTCATCTTGATGTTCCAAGAGCTCCCCTCAGATTGAGAACTTTCTAACTCGTGGACTGTCCGCGGGACACCTACCCTGTAAGGAGGCGGGCTTCCTGTTGTTAGAGTCCAGGAAGGGCCAAGAGTCCTAATGAAAGGATTCCTGTGTCCTGTAGGTGAGAGGACAAGGTGATCACTAAGGTCCCTTCTGGTTCTGGGGTTTTAGAAGTTTCTTAAACTCAAGGAGGACCAGGGCATCCCTTGAGTTGGCATTCAGCTGAGAGCCATCCGTTAGTGCCCAGAGCTTCCAGGCTGTTAGACAGTTTGTTCTGCCCAGGAAATGAGATTCAGACTAAATCCAAGGTTTTGAGGCTGATGTTTGGGCAGAATCTCTCGTAAGATACAATCTAACGCAGGTGCTACAGACCGACATGGAGCTGCTCCAGCTGAAAACACAATTTGGGGACAGCCGTGTTAGAGGGTGCTGGCATGGCGGGCACCCAGCCCATCTCTAACCCTCTGGGCAGGGCTCCTGACTCCCTGGGACCTCAGGACCAAATGGGGGGCTCATTCCCCTGCTGTCATGATGGGGGCAGTCTGGTGGCATCAGGACCCACCGCGACCCCAGCCGCTCCCTGTTGCCCCCTCACAGGTCTGGTGCTCTGTCCGCACGCCCGAGAGCTCCCACGAAGGCCTCATCACCGACCCCCACAGCCCCTCCCGCTTCCGGGTCATTGGCTCCCTGTCCAATTCCAAGGCGTTCTCAGAACACTTCAGCTGCCCGCCTGGCTCACCCATGAACCCTCCTCACAAATGTGAAGTCTGGTAAGGGGCGAAGCACAGAGAGCCAAGACAGAGGAGGGGAAGGGGCTGAGGACGAGCCCGAGGAGCCTGCCCGCTCCCTCCAGCCCTGGGGCAGGACCCAGCCCCCTGGTCCCCCACGGCCCCTCTTCCCCGCACTGGAGGGTTTTCCGCCGGAACCAAGCCTGTGATGTAGGTTCTCAACATAACCCAAGATTCGATCCCCTGTGAAGACCCCGACATCCCAGGCACACGTGCGTCAACTGTAGCGGGCATTTGGGAGTCAGGCTGGTGGTTCACTGGACCTGGGCCCCACACCAACAAGGGTGGAGGGACACAGCCCCCCACCCACATCCAGCACCAGATATACCACAAATACCACTGTGTCAAATGCTTTAAAGATATATTTTTGGGGAAACTATTTTTTAAAACATTGTGGAATACACTGGAAATCTTCAGGGAAAAAATGCATTTAAAACACCTTTTTTTTTTTTAAGGAGAGGATTGGTATATTTATTATGTTCTGTTTTTCTAAATATCCTGTGGTTGAGGGAAGCCCCACTGATTCACCACACCCCTCCTTCCCCACTCACTGCGAGGCTGGGCTGAGGCAGGGATCCCCAGGCCACTGAGCATGTCCCCAAATCAGAGGGCTGCCCCAGCCCTTGGGATATGCGATTTCAGCCCCGGCCACCTGGTGCCACACTCACCTGGTGCAACAGGAGAGGTGTGGAGGCCAGGCAGAGGGAGGAGCCAGCTCGCAGGGCCCAGCTCATATGCACTGTCCCTCTCAGCTTGCCTGACCCTGTCCCCAGAATCTGACAGTGGGAGCCCCAGCAAGGAAGAGCTGATCTCTAAAATCACAGTAGGGAACTGATGGCTGTGGCAGAATGAGACCAGGTAAGGGCCCTCAAACACAATCCGGGTTGGCTGAACACCCTGTATCTGGACTCCAGGAGCCCTGCAGGGCTGAGACTTCCCATCTATGCCATAGATGTCCTCTTTTGGTCCCTCCTATTTTGGCTGCCCCATGTCTGTCCCCAGGGCCGGTTGCCTCTCTGCAGTAGGCCCCCATCCCAGCCACTTCGGGGGTCTGCGTTGCTGACCCTCTTACCAGGGGGAAAGAGAAGAGGGAAAACAGCTCTCATCTCCCACAGGACCTGAGTCTTCCCTCTGAGCTCCATCCTCCCCTACCCGGCCCGGGCCTGGCTCCCAGGACCAGTTCTCTAGTGCCTTATCTGAGGCTGCGGCCCCTGGGCTCCACCCCAAGGAGACAGCCCCTGCCCTCAGAGGCCCCTTGGCCTCCTCTCCTCCTCAGTGGAGCCCCCAAGTGTCCTGACTGGAACACAGGCCATATCCCACTCCCGGTGCCTGCAGGACCTCCCCTGACAGCAGCCTGCAGGTCAGTGGTACCGGGTGTCAGAAGTCAGAAGAACGACTGTACCTGCCCAGGCTCCAGCACCCCTAGGCCTCTTGGGCTGAGTTAAGGCAGTACTTGTAGCTAGATGGAGTCCTCTCCTTTGGGGGATTCTTTTAGCCAGGGAAGGCTGTGGGGAACAGTTTCCTCAACATGGTCTGGCCTGCAGTGTCAGGGGACCAGGAAAGTTGTCCCCTCCGTGAGGCCACACCTTCTCCTGACAGCAAGTTCATGGGCTCCACCAGGTGGAGCTAACCGTAGCCCTCACTGCCATCCTATAGGCCCCTGTGACTGAGGCAGGAGCAGCTAGCAGCTCTCCCATCTCACTAACCCGGGCCCCCTGGCCAGGCCCTGCCCCGGTGGTGTACCCCCCTCACCCAGGAAGCCAGAATCTTCCTTGCCAAGAGGAGCAGACAGCTCAGTGACTGCCCTGACACCTGATCAGCCTCTGAGCTGGAGCAGGGGTTTGAGAGTGGGCTGTACATGAGGCCCCTGGTCCCCCAGGCAGCAGGCCTGGTAGCTTTTCAGAGGAAAGATGGGACAGGAGCCAGAAGAGGAGCTACAGCCAGGAGCCGGCCATGTGCACCTTGCCTCGGAGAGGTGGGCCTGGCGTCCTCTCTGCCCTCCTCTCCCCACATCCTCCTGCCTTCCTGCCTTCCCACCTTCCCAGTGGGGGGGGGGGGGGGGGCCCGGG